CATATTTTGAAGACCAGGGATGAGGGATAATTGAAAAACTTCCTATGGATACACATAATGGATCACCGCTTACAGATACAAATACTTCCTAGGAATCCTCGAAGGAAGGATCTCCTTTGTAAGCTTTGTCAAATGATATCTTATATGGGTAGAAACATGATACAAAATGCAAAGCTTGATAACGTAGATAAAGATACAATTCTCAAAAACCAAAATCTGTGAGATCATGTCTATAGATATGCCTATAAGCATGTAATTTTATGCAGATGGAGAAGCGATGGGAACATATAAGCAATTAGACAAATGCATGTCCTAATAACTTAAAAATAAATGTAGCATGTTTATCAAGAAGAACATAAATATTATCACAAGACATAAACACTAACAAGAAAAACACAAACAAAACATAAACACTAATCATTATACAAGAAGAATGGTTTTTTATAGCTAGTGATCATTGTATAATGTATTAATTTTAGTAGATTGCTTTTGTTTCCTAATTAAAAACAACAAATGTTATAAAACAAAGAAAAACTCTCAAGTAATATCAAATCAACCAGTTCACATATTGAATTTAGATTACAAAAGAAGTTAAATAAAATAAGACCAATCTATCTTAATCCTTCAATTGGTTAAATATGGTTACATATTTGAGAACACAGTCATACTGTAGGCTGTTTAAAAATCATTGCAGATAGCTGATCTCCACAGATTCAACAGATGATGAAAGATATAATCTGACGTCCTTCACATCAACAAGCGAAAGTTACAATCTGACGGCCTCCGCAAACGGTCAATGAAAGTTAAAATGTAAAGACTTTCATAGCAACGTGTTAGAATTGCAAATTGACGACTCTCGCATTCCACAAAGGCCAAGTGTAAAGATTACAAAATGACAATCTGTACAGAAGTCAAAGGAAAGAGATTACAATTGACAATCTCCACAAATCCAAACGTGGAGGTTGCCAGACGCGGAGGTCGCCAGATGCAGAGGTCGCCAGACGCAGAGGTCACCAGACGCGGAGTTCGTCCCAAGCCCAGACGCAGAGGTCGCCAGACGCAGAGGTCGTCAGACGCAGAGGTCGCCTGACTTAAGTTGAAGCCTGATTAAAGCGAAAAAGGGCCTCAAAGTTGATAAAGTTTTAAGAAGTCTACATACAATATGGCGGAATGCTATGTAAACAACCATATTGGGAGTGAATTTACTAAGGAGCATGTCATGAATCATATGAAGAGTCTTCGGACTCGTTTTTAAGACATGCAAACTTGTCGTAACGTTAAAGGGGTGGGATGGGATGAAAATAAGCAAAACATTATGGATCAAAATAGTTTTGATAGGTGGTAAGAGGTATGCACAAATGACTATATTTTAATAATACTTAAAAATATTTCATCTTGCGAATGACTAACTTTTGGCCAATTGTGCAGGATAAGAACAACTACAGGCTTAAATATTACATCAACAAGCCTTTAATGATGAACTTGCCATCATAATCGGTGATGATCAAGCTAGAGACGATCATGCCAAGGATGTGTCAGGCAAGATTAATGGTTTTGGGGCTATTAATATTAATGATGAGGATGATAATGGGCTAGAAGTTTAGGACCTAAATGGGTATGAAACTCAGTCTCAAAGCAAAGAGAAGTTAATTCTACAAACTTCCAATCATCTTCAGGAGTGGATAATGCTAATAATCCCATAAAAATTAACAAAGGCAAGGGTTAAAGAGCTAGCATGGATATTGAGCTTATGAAACAAATGATTGAGGAGGTGAAGGGGTTCTCAGCTTCTATAAAAATAATCAATATGCATTGGACAGAGAAACTATCTCATTCTGTCTTTGCATATAAAGATCAATATCCTATTGCTATCCTGGAGATGTTTTTTGATAAGCTCTTTCAGTGTAAAAGTGCTGCTAGACACTTTAATTGCAATAATAAGTATGGACAAAGGACTTTAATTGATGCTTTTATTAAAGAACATCAACAGAGCTCAGATTAGGACATATGAAGGATTTCACATTTAGTGAACTCTTTTTTGGGAGCACGTTCTATCATTCATTTTCTTCAAGATCTATTAATATGATACTACTTCGTCTTACTTTTGTATTATGATAACTGTATTACTTTTTCTTGGGTGTGACATATTACATTATGCTGCCAACTACATGATTACTTGTGTTGTGACGATATTCTTAATTGTAGGTACCTCTTAAGAGCATGCTTATGGAAATGAGGTACTTATTATAGTGATCATATTTCTAGATTTGCAACCTACAATGATAAAATTGTACATGTATGGCGATATATGATTTTTATTGACTATTTCCATTCAAAATTTTCAAAACTACATATTATATATTGCTATGATGATTGTCATAATCTGATACAGGAAGTCATGAGTTGTTGATTCATTGTATAGGCACGTCAATAATGCAGCCTACAATGTTATCAACAACTAATTTTGGTGAGGCATACCATGATGATATGGACCAATTGTAAGCACATACGTTGACTATTAAATACTTTTTGGAGAAATTTCTTACTAGCAATACTTATTATTTGCGACCTTAATATATTCTTTAATACTTTATTATGGTACAAATTACAATGTTTGATAACATAAGAAGCATACAAAATAAACATAAGAAGCATACAAAATAAACATATAAAAATGCATAGTTTTTTCAAAGATCAACTTCACGTTTTGCTTGCTTCAACTCTTGCTTCAATTGTTTGGGTTTTGAAACTTACTTATCTTTTACATTCACACCTTCAAACTTTGATGAATTATTTTCAAACTTTTGCATCGCTCTCTTTATTTTTAATTCATCTTGCGGTTTGGTATTGGATAATTTCATCTCTTCTACATTCATTGTCTTGAACTTTGACATGACTTTCTTCATTTCACTATCATCTTGAGCCCAAGCAAAAAAGTTAATTACCTATTTGAATATTTTGCACTACCCAAAAATATTTCCCTTATTCTTACCATTTTTGCACATTTTAAGTGGTGTTGGGATTTGACAATAGCACCGAACTTGATATTATTGAGACCCCTCAACTCTGTTCATCTTGCTATGTTTGCTAATACGAACAAAAAAATATTGCGGCAACTTTTTTGAGCACTATCCATAGATTGAGTGCTTGTATATATAGCTATTGTGGAAAATTTAGCCGTTGAGCATTTTTTTTGCCTGTTGGTATATATGCAGCTGTTGTTGTTGGGTTTTGGGCTGAATATAGCCGTTGTGATGCTTTCATCTTCATGTTCATGTTGGTTTTCAGTTTTTGGGCTAACATATAGGCGTTGTTATTCTTGTACATATAGCTATTGCGACAAATTTAGCGTTAGGGCAACTTGGTTTTTGGCTAACATACAGACGTTGTGAAGCTTTTGTCTTCATGTCGATGTTGGCTTTTGGGCTAAATTATAGCCATCTTGCGGCCGTTACAATCAGGTTGATGTTGGTTTTTAGCATCAAGCTGGTGTTATTCATATTGTTGTTGGTTTTTAGGCTAAATTCTAGCCATCAGTTGTTGTTGGTTTATTTGGCCTCGAGCTGGTCTTTGAAACATAGCCAATTGCTATTGGTTTATTTGGCCTCGAGCTAGTCATGAATCATATGGGTTGCTGTTGGTTTATTTAACCTCTAGCTGGTCTTATTCATGTTGGTAAAGAAGTGACATTCATTTTGTCGTTATCTTTTTTTAGGGGTGAACTTACCATGATGGTACAATCTACATTTCCATTATGTTTCATCTCCAACCAAACAAATATAATCTTAAAATTAGGTTTTTGTTGTTTTCTTTTCTAAGTTTTAACTCCCCAACCACTCATAGGAAATTGAAAAAATATTGGGAGTATATTTCTATACCCATACTTTCTATGTGAAATAAAATAAAAAATAACTATTTTGAAGAAATCTAAGGAAATATGAGGAAATATAAATTTCTATGATGTTTTCAATTTTAATTTTCTGTGGTTGGCGAGCGAATTTACTGCTCTATATAAACGGGAGAACCCAAGATTCACTATTCATGCTACAGTAAATGTTGCAGTAACATGCTGTAGTAAACAGGGAAGTGATACCGTAGTAAGGTTTTAGAAAATATCACTGTATCACACGTGAATACTGTAACATTTTTAAAAAAAACTATAGTAAAAACGAGAACCGTACCAATTCAAATTTTTTTAAAAATATTACTGTAACATTTAAAGATTGGAATTACTAGGGCCTGTTCGTTTGGCCAAAAAAACTGGGAAATCAAACTTTAGGAAACCTATTTCCTATTATAATTACTTTGAAGTTGTTTGGTTGGTTAAAAAAAAAGAAGGAAATTATAGAATAGGAGATGAGATGAGATGAGTTGTCACCTTATTATTGGATGATGTGAGTGATTTTTTTAAAAACTTGTTTTGAGGTTGTTTGGTTGGTTAAAAAAATAAGGAAATGAATTGGAGGTATATTATTGGATGATGTTTTGAGGTTGTTTGTGTTTGGTTCGTTTTTAAAAATAAGAAAATAGATGAGATGAGATGAGTTGGAGGTATATTATTGGATGATGTGACATGTACTTAAGGAAATTAATTTCTTGTTTTTTTTTGAGGAAATGGGTGGAAAGGAATGTTTAATGAGATGAGATGAGTTGTCACAATATTATTGGATGATGTGTGTGATTTTTAAAAATGAGATAAAATGAGATGTGATGAGTTGGATGATGTGACACATTTCTTGTGTTTGGTTTATTTTTAAAGGTAAGAATAGAGATGAAATGAGATGAGTTGGAGGATAAAAATAATATTTTATTGGATGTTGTGGGTGAGTTTTAGTGATGGAAATTGATAAAAATATTATTTTATTAATTTCCTTGTACCGATTTCCTTTTCTTGGTTTTTAGGAAACCAACCAAACAGCCCCTAACGGAAAAAAGAATGATACGCCGTGCAGCACTGTGTTCACGTGTTCACGACCAGTAGAGTAGATTTGGAAGTGTGACCGAAACGAAAAAAAAAACTTTTTGGAAGTAGTAGGGTTCTTGAAGCCCTCCCTTTGATGACCCCTCGACTAACCCACTGTTTCCCTCTCTTTGCCCTCGCTCGCGACCTCTCTTCTTTGCCTGTCTCTCTCCGAAATGAGTCAAAAAGCGAACCCCTCAACGCAACCGCCGCAGGTGCCGAGCGTCTCATCTCCGGCGACGGCTCCTCCTCCGTCCGGATCCACTCCTTTCTCCCCTTCTTCTTCCTTTTCCAAATGCGTACTCTCTCTCTCTCTCTCTCTCTCTCTCTGCGCTCTGCTTCTCAATTTTCCTTTCTTTTTACCTAAAATGGAAAATGTACAACTTAATTTCAATTCGACAAACCCTAGGTATTGCTTCTCGAGTGGTGGCTGCTCAAATCCGACACTGATTCCGGCGGGAAGAGGCTGGCAGTTGGCGGATTGAACGCTTATGGGTAAAAGCTCACTCCTTTTTCGGACCAGTTGCAGAAAATCCCTAAACCCTAATTTGTGAGGTTCTTTTTGGGGGGTTTTTTGAACAGGAAACAAGTCACGAGAGTCTTCACCTCTGCGCCGATTGTCACGCGGTTTGATGCTTATACCGTGGAGACTGCGGATGGCATCACTGTGAGGATTCAGGGCTTCATTAACAAAGCAAGGACTCATCTCAATGGCGTCCCACCTGAGGTTTTTATTTTTTTTCTCTCTCACCATAACTTATAATTGTTATGTAATTCAGTTAGTTCTTTAAGTCTAATGATTAAGAGCAAAGAACAATTTTATATCTTTGTTTGTTTTTGGTTTTGTCATTAGTAGGTCTCGCAATGTTTCTTGATTGGATTTCCATATAACTGGGATAAATACGCCAATGGGGATTTTTGGGAGAAACCTGATTCTCCAGCAGTTTCGATGAGATCTTCTGGTATCAGCCGGCAATTGGAGCAGGGTTCATCTGACATTTCTGCAGTAGAAAGGGACTCAAGTAATTTATTGCCAATAGAGAGGGAGGACCCACATCATAAACTTGAAAGAGGACTGGGAGGTTATGAATTAAGGAGTAGGGATCGTTCAAGAAAGACTGGCATGAAGAATACTGTTTCTTCTGAGAGTTCAATAGGGAGAAAAGATTGTGATGAAGGTGATGCTAATTCGTTGAAGATGAAAAGGAGTATGGCTTTTGAACCATCAGCTAAGGCTCCAAACGAGAGGGGGAACAGCCGTGATTCAAGATTGGTGATTCAAAATGAGTGCAGATCTGTTACAAGGAAACACACAATTCATTCAGGAATTGTTAAGCATTGTGGTATCAAGCATGCCAATAGTGTGGCTGCAGATGTCCTTCAGGAAGGTCATCCTCATTTTTCACCAGAAGAGCCAGGTTCCGAACATCAACAAGAGACTCCTGTGTCCCGTGATGTTATCAACAAAAAATGTGCTGGTCATTCTGAGCACGATGACAGTTTGCGTAAAAGAAGCAATAGCGTATCCGTTAAAACAGTTATCCAGTGTTCTGTTAAACGCACAAATCATTCAGGCAGTACAGCGCAACTTCATTTGGACAGAGCTTCAGACTTAACTAGAAAGAGTACTGGGGAGCTTCCAGGTATCTGTGATGTAAGTCACTTAACATAGTACGGTCTCTTTCCATACGAATTAAAATTATGCATAGTGGGGATGAAAGGCCTTTCTTGTCTGTTGTGTTGTTTCTTGGAGAATCAGTCTGGAGCATTGACAGATGAAGAGCTAACCAGAAGGAAAAAAGAGCATGCCAGTACGAGGAAGACAATCTGGAAACCTAGTTATTCACTGGTAAGTTATTGAATTAACCAAGTTGTATCGTGGCATTTTCAGTTTCTTAGGTGTGTCCTTTTTTAATATCATGTCCAACTAGGCAAAAACGATTTGCTGCATGGCCCAAAGGAAGGCTATGCCCACACCGGTCAGGTCGGCTACACGAATTAATTCTTTTACTGATTTAAATTTGGGGCATCTCTCTGGAAATTGTTGTTATTAATTATTATTATTATATTATTATATTATTATTATATTATTATTATTATCACATTTATAGATATATTTGAATGCAAGGTTGTATTCATTTACTACTAGTGGGATTTAAATCGTAATCATATGCTTAAAGCTAGAAGCTATTCCTGGAATGGTGAAGCTTTGATCCAAGCATCTGAACCCTTCCAATGACTGCATTTTGACATTATGACAGTTGGTATTGACCATACAATTCATTGCAGTCTATGACTTGATAGGTTTTTATGAACTGTCTATTAGACCTCGGTTCAGGTATCTGTCTGTAGGTGCTTCTAAGATATGGTTCCAATTGAGTAACCTAATCTTCAGGACTAGCATATAGCCTATGTTATGATGATCAGTGTCTTTAGGGCATGCACATGTTATTCTATCCCTTGTCCTAACTTAAGACTAGTCACATTTAATATTATGAGTCATTTTCACGTGTGCATATTTTAGTCAAGGATTTGATTACTTAGTTTCCTCGTTGGACCTGTTAGTAGTAAATCATTATCAGAGTTTAGAATTTTTAATATTTGCATCCTTGACAAAACTATTTATTAAGATTTTTAAACTAAAAAGTGATTATGATCAGTTTTGACAGTTATGACTTTTGAAATGGTTTTTCAATAATCATGCAGAGATCCTCAATCATGTCAAGGAAAATTATTTAAAAAAGCACAATTATAGTTACTTTCATCTTCATAAATCATGCTATGATTGATGAAAAACCTTGTACTTGATATTGGATAAAAGAATCTTCTAGCAGATGACTGGTTAACTTCACAATTACTTTTTTATATGCCAAAAAAATTGTCCACTGATTTTTTTTGTTTGGTGATTTTCATGCATTTTGGCAGTTATTCGATGAAACTAGAATAATCTCACTTGAAATGTGTGTTGTGCCATATGACCTGGATCTACATGCCCTCGTTTTTGGATTGCCAAAGACGGTCTGATCCCATACAAGCAATATCTCTTGCTGTTTTCCCACTTTCTGCCTTCGGTTTTAGGGCATAGCGGCATTATGAGAACGCTCTAAGATAAGGTAGTAATGCAGATGTCCTAGTAAGTTCTGGTCTCATTTGAGGGGGAGAAGCATCTGAGAACTAATACTGCTAAGGTTATTCGTGCAGTCTTGTTTAGCCTTTTGAGTTGAATTGATCCAATAATGAGCATAGTTCGTGTGGAAAGGATGCTTCTACAGGGACCCGAAAATGGGACAGATAGGGGGGACATGTGAGGTATCCCTCTCTGATTGCATAATGAGCTGGTCATCGCCAGCTCATTATGCAATTAGAGGTGGACACCTCATCTGTCCCCCTCTATCTGTCCTATTTTCTTGTCCGTGAGGCATTTTTCGTGTGGAAAATCTGCTCACTTCTTTTTTAGTCTAATTTGAATTTCAAGAGTTGGATCCACTCTCAGTTCTCAGTCTCCTTGCATCGAAGATATCTATGTGTAAGATTTAAATATCGGCCGACATGTCGGACATGTCGGACGATATATCGGATTGAGGGGTCGAGCGATACGAATCGGGGGATTTTAAGTCGCATGTCGTTTTTCAGGGAGATATTGGATATATTGGCGAAATATCGGCCATGTCGGCCGATTTTTCATGTTTGAAAATCGACCGATAAGCCCATTTATCGGTTCAAAGGTGTGAGTTTGGGTTCGAAACCCATTTGACCTTTTTATCGGATATAGGAGGCTCTTTTTGAACCCGATAGACACCCCGATCATAAGAAAGAAAAGAAAAACCCTAGGGCTCGCGATCTTCGTCGTTTTGCTTTCGTGGTTCTCGACTTCTCCTCTCGTCCTCACAGCGCCGCCTTCTCCTCTCTTTCTTCCCTGCGCCATCGGGTCCTCACATCGCTGGTAAGCCTCCCTGTCCTCGGCTTATCCTCTCATCCTCACAGCGCCGCCTTCTCTCTTTCTTCCCTGCGCCATCGGAGGCTCGAGGTCCTCACATCGCTGATAACTGGTAAGCCTCTCTCTCTCTCTCCCCCCTCCCCCTCTCCCTCTCGCTAATGACTTTTTCTGTTTACATTTTTTCACTTAAGCCTCCCTGACCTCTCTCACTCTCATGACCCTTTTTCTGTTTGCATTTTTTTCTAGACTTTCAGTTTGTGCTGTTGTTGAGTCGCTGACTGCTAAGTAAAAGGAATTGTTGATTTTTACTTTTTTATTTGTCTAGTCTATAAAATTTATAAAGTATGCTTATATTGAATTTATGAATGCTTAGATTACATTTAGGACATGATATTATACATATGCGCATCACCAGATATGGCAATCCGATATTTAGTCTATGTCCCCCGATATATCCTCGATTTTCGCTATCCGACATGGATTTCAGCCGTCCGACATGAACCCGACATCCAATATTTAAAACATTGACACCATTTGACTCGCACCTTAGACAGCTGAATTATTCCTCATCAATTCCAATGCATTGATTAGCTATAATGGATTTCCACTGGTTGCATCAGCATATTTGACCACTTTATCCCATCCTTGTGAAGCAAATTCAAAATTTTCTAACAGTTGGATGGTTTTATGTGCATACTTTGTAAGATGAAGGATCTATTATTTGGAGAATATTTCAGCTCATACTTTCAAGGATTATGTTCTCCTTTATCTGCTGGCTTTGTAGTTCTATGTTCCGATCTTTTTGTGTTTGCAATAAAATGATATTTATCATTCAGACTATTTCAGGCCTTGCATAAGATTTGACATTTATCATCATTTATATATTGTCTGAATCAACATCATCTCATCCTTGTCCTAAACATCACCAGTATTTTACTTTTACCATCAATATGTTGTTGGGTATTGATGTGTTGGAAGCACAATCAAAGAAGATAAATACTTGTCCTCGTACGAGCAAAATGACACAAACCCAAGGAACCCTATGACAATAAACTTAAGAATAATATCAAAGACAACATAAGGAGTCAACATAAATTCATCCCCCTTATATGGGTATAAAACAAGGTAAAAGTGCCTAATTAGCCTTTTTCTAAAAGAAATAGACTTTCAAGAAATAAAAGAATTTCCATAAAAACTAGAAACTAAAATAGACCAAAACTCTTTGACACGCAGTTTGAGCATGAAGACGATTTCTTTTAACCCTAAAACTTGGTCAGAACGATTGTGCCATTTTTGGCGTAGAGTATCTTTCGAGCTTTTCGAAAACATATAATAATAGCGATTCTATGAAGGGAATTAAAAGTTACGGTCCATTGAAGTTGCATATCAAAATTTGGCAGAAAATCACCCCCTTTTCATAAATAACCTGGGCATCGCACGATCCGATTTCTCCCAAAAAACATCTGTGATTGCCTCTGCATCAGCTTTGCAACATTGATGGGAAGTTGAGAATGCTATGCAAAACTTGGTAAATTTTTACGGCCTCCTGTCAACCTTATGTCCCTCTACATGAAATGGCACCAAATTTTGCACTAAATGTGAGTCTGATTGGGCACGGTTAACAACTTTTTAAGCACTTGTACTCATCTTCCCACTTCGCTGCGCTTACCCTACTTGGAACATTGACTAGAAACAATGAAGGCCACTTTGCGAGAAGGACCGAAGGTTGATCCATACTATCAAGAGGAACCCCAGAATTTCAGTAACTAGAAAAAAGCTCAGATAAAAATGATAAGTATGCTATGGAACCATATTTGACTAAGGCACCTATGTCAAAGATGCCTGGAATTTTCTCCTGCATAATTCTAGTTGTCCTGCATGAGGAGTTATTCAATAAGAGAAATGGTTACATTTATTTTCATGTATATTCATTATCTAGGCGAAGAATAGTGCCTAAAAGTTCTGCTGTTGAGACCATCAGAGGAAATGATTTTATAACTATCCAATAGCTTTCAATCTGGCATACAAGAAATCATATAAATCATCATGAATGTTTTAAGATCTAGATCATGTAATTATTCATTGAGTTAAGATGAAGCTAAAAAATTATCTTTTTCTTTCATTTTCCCCTTCTTTCCAGGAAAGTCCATTGACTCGAGATAAAGCTAAGAAATTATCTGTCACTTCCCCTGAGTTACTTGATCTGAAAAGATCTAGATCAGGTAAACTTTAATAAATAGAAATATTACTACACTAGTTGCTTCTCATTACCAATTTTGTTTTATTATCCGCATCCTAAATTTGGACTTATATCTGCGAACTATAATTTTGCAGGACGGTTACTTGTTCCTGCATTAGCGAGATGGTGTCAGAAGATAATCTATGACACGGTTAGTGACAACTTTACCTTTTCCCATGTCCTTGAATTTTACATTGATAAACAGGATCCAAATTTGGCGTTCAGTTAATTAACATGCATCATTCCTACAATAGCTAGATCCTTCTCTTCTCCATTGCTCTATCTTTGTTCAATACAATTATGTCATCTTTTAATTTCTATGAAATTTGAAAGCTTAAAAAAATCTTTATCATGGATTAAGGATTTTTCAATTTAAACTACTTGGGGGTGTTACTATTTTATGATCGTTAGCTAGGGGGCTAGAACAATTGTCCATCAAACATACCTTCTAAGTTGGGCTAGGAGTAACATTTTCAAATTGATTCTTGGATTTAAAGTTGGATTCTCATATTCAAATCGGATTCTTAGACAATCTGTAATAGTAAGTTTTTGATTTGAGAAAATTAAATAATTTATAGGACAATTGAATTATGATACTAAATATTAAATTAGTAATAAATATTAGAGTTTTTTTTTGGATATTGGTCCCCAAGATCTTTCATATTTTGAAATTAGTTCTCTAAAGTAGCATATTTTAATATCAGCCCCCTAATTTTTTAAGTGTTCTGAAATTAGTCCTTTTACTCGACAGCTAGTTGAAATTGAGGGAAGATTTCGTCAGTTTTAACATTTTTGGGTGCAATACTGATTATATTCTTATTCAACCTTTAGTCAATTTGAATGTTGATTTTGGGAAAAAAGTTTGATCTTATTCAGAAATTGAAGCGAGATATCAAAGAGAGCACGAGAGGGAAACTGAAATTGGCTGGGGATTAATTTCATGAGGGTAAATTTGGATGGTGAATTTAAGACTAATTTCAAAACAATTAAAAATTTTACGGGTCTAATTTCAAAATATGAAGATTTGGTAGACTAATATTGAAAAACCCTAATAATTATTATTTAAAAAGTAAACTATTTTTTCATAAATTATTAATTTACTATTAAAATTTTATTAATTATTAGTACTAATGGTTATGTTTAGAATTATATGTATGGCAATATCTTTCTGTTTTTCTTTAGCTATTACGATGATTAGTTACAAAATGGCTTAAACTTCAAGTAGTTTTAACTTTTTTTTGGGTAGAGGAAGCAATGGAGATCAAAAGTGTAACCAAAGGTATATAGAGACCATTTATAGTAAAAGCTATAATTTAATGGAAATTAGCATAAGCTCATTCATAGTAAAGTCAATAGTTTAATAATGAAGTTTGCATATGTCGATATCTCTCTATCATTGAATAGAACTATTGAAGTCTTGAATAATTTCCAGTCCATTAAAATTCATTAACGAAACCATCATCACCACCAATCTCAATTCCCAAAATAATCTCTTCATCTCCCCTTTCACGATTCATCTTCGTGACCACATAAACTCTAATTTTGCTCCTTGTCGTCGATCATGATAGAAAAGGTCATTTTGCAAGCATTTCTACGCCCTCCTCTACACTCAAGAAGCCCCTTTGCGACTCAGTCCCCATTCTTCTTGATACAATTAGCCTAACGGAGTGCAATTTCATCAAAATTAAAAATTCCAAATCTTATTAGCCAATATCAGAAGAATTGAGTAAATATTGATCCATTAAAAACATGTCGGAGCAACTAATAACGAGTCTTGTCTAACTGATGGTTTTCAACATGTTGGTCGGCCTCGTGAAGATTAATAGTTGAGTGGTCGTCCTAGGGGTGTGGGAGTCAGAGATCCACGCAACTTGCCTCTACTGCTTCTCAAGCAAGGGAGTTTGTCATATCTCTTCAAGGACAAGTGAGTTGAAAACCCCAACACCTTATCATGCATGGAACTAGTGGTCTGTGATGGTTTTAAGATGGGTCGATTTACCAAATCTGATGTTGAGAAGGTTGTTAATACATGGAAGCAAGCTTTTGAATACTTCATTGGATGGAGACCAGTGGCGGAGCTAGGATTTCAAGTAGGCTTATTAAGGGGCGCGCCTCGCGCACGGGGTGCTTCGGCCTACGGGAAATGCGCCCCGCACGCGAGGCGGGGCGCTGCACGCAGCGAGGTGCGCGCCTCGCACCTGCGTTATGTAACGTACTTTTTCGTTTATTTTTTTAAATAATTTACATAATTACATATTTATATCATGTAATATACTCTTTCTTACTAGTTGCTAATCTATTTTCATCTTTTCATGTTTAATCTATAAAAAAGAAACAATAATTAGTAATTTAGTATACTTGTTTGCTAATTGTAACTTCATTATCTAATTAACATGCTAACTAGCAAATTATGAACATGTAAATATGTAATTGTTACATTCATTCTTCATCTTTTCATGCTAAGTAGCAAATATCAATTAAGAATACTAACTAGAAAATTATGAACAATTATGTTTGTTAATTATATTTCTTAGTCTTTTTATGTGACAATTTATAATTATAAATATATGCTCATAATTGTTAATCACTTAATTTGATGATTTAAATACATGTTTCTTGTATCTTTTTTGTTACTTTAAAAATTCAGTTAGCATAATTTGATGATTTAAGTTGATATTCTCATAATTTTGGATGTAGGTAACTAATATGTTGCTTATATGTTTCTGTCTTATGATGTTGACAAATATTAGTTTGAGTTATGCGTTTCAATTAGTGAGGCGCGCATCTCGTTGTGCGCCTTGCGCATGGTACGTGTAAGGAACCTTTGCGCCCTGCATTGCGCCTTGCGTCTCGATAACATTGATTTCAAGTTTGGAGGGGCCAATATATATTTATATATAAACATAAGAATATCATCCTCCATCATTAGCAAATAATAATAATTTCTCATCCATAATCACAATAATATATGCATAACAACAATCATTAAAAAAAGCATTATTATTGAAAGATTAAAAAAATGAAATATAAGAATTTAAAAACATATGATTTGGCACTAAATTAGGGAATTTTTGTTCCTCATTATTGACAAAATTAAACATAAAGTCACTACTTTTAAAAAATATACAACTAAAAAGTATATTAAACAAAAAATGTAGTAATTTTTTATCTTAATAAAAGAGGGTTTCAGATATTAAAAAAATTCATTGAGACACCCAAGCCAAGAGAGTTGAATAAATATTAAAGTTGGATTTCTTGAATAGAAGTAAAAATGGAAAGGGAAAAGAAGAATTGAGAGAAAGTTTAGGTTGACATCTATAAGAGGGGAACTAGAGAAAGAGGATGCCACTGCTCTTTTCTCCAGTCTAAAGTCTTCTCTCTTTATTTTTTAATTATTAAATATGATTTGATTTGGGTGGGACTCGGGAGAGGATTGTTTTAAATGAAACGTTTGAGGGGCCAATCTAACAAAGTTAATAGAATGAGGGGCCAAATTTGACAAAGTCAATTGAATACCAACATAAGCTCATATTTTTTTAGTAAAAAATAAAAAAAATTTAGGTGGCCCGTGGCCACCCCTACTATTGAATGGCTCCGCCACTGATAAAGACATTTTCTTAAGGAATTGTAGGCTCATTTTAAACCAATGTGCAATTGAAAGATGTGGAGAATATGCCTAGGGGGCGGGGTTTTCTAGCGTTCTGTTTCCGTAATGATGGTGATATGATGAAGTTTCTTGAAGGAGACATTTGGTTCCTACATAGAGAACCACTCATCATTCAAAAGTGGACGCCAGATTCAAAGTTCGAGAAAGAGAGATAGACCTTCATCCTATTGTGGGTAAAGTTGTCATCTTTATATTTTAAATTTTGACAATGGAGGTGCTAAGCGCAACTGGTAGCTTATTGGGTAAAACTTCATACTTTGATGATGCTTCAAGGAAGATATCTATATCACAGTTTGCTCGTATGTGTTGAGTTCATAGTTCTGAGTGGAAGCCTAAATCATGTTCATCTTGTCGCTCATTTGTCCATGAGAAAGGTGCTTGTGTCCCAAAGAAAGCTCCAACCAGTGCACCTCCCACTATACCCATATTGATCCTGCAGTTAAGCCCCATATCAAATCGGCATCTTTTAAGCCTCGTGTACCTACAATTTTGGGTATTCACGTTGATGGCTTGTTAGCGTTAGGGATCATGCTATGCCATCACAGCCAAATGGACCCTGATCCGATTCATTCGCAGACAATGACTAGTGATGATGGTACTCTTCCAGTTTTAATTATGAAGATAGTTGAGCAACAATGCGAGAGGGAATTAGGGCTCGAAGACTCGTCTAGTAGCCTTGTTGTTGATGAGAGCGTCAGCTTTGGTACTAAGGAATTTATTGCGTCAATCTCTGATAGTGATTCATCTTACGTGAGGTGCCAATCTGACGTCGATTTGAACACCAATTTGGCAACTCGAACCTGATAAAGTTGATGCCTCTTAGCCTAAAGGCAAGAGGAAGCCTTCTACCTCTAATCGATATAGTGCACTTGGTGGTATAGACCCTGATGAACTAGCTAGTGCGGGCCCACCTCCAAATTCCCTCTGTTCTACTCAATGACAATCCTCATATAGAATATGAGGGGCTAACAATGCGACAACTATGTCATGTCTTACGAAATACTTGCTGTATTGAGAGTTAATATTGCTCGTCTATTGGAGCATAAGCTTGTTGATAATGTTTTTGTAATGGTTCACTGCTTTTGGGGACCAAGGTCGTATACTCACAACATCTGAGACGACCTACATGGAAGAATTTTGGTGTATTAGGATGACTTTATTATTACTTTGCAATTAATCTTTTCTTCTCTACAACTCATGCACTTTCCTTGCCTATTATTGAATATAATATTTTTTATGCAGTGCAAAACTTCTTTCGTCATGACAGTTTTGAGAACAGTGAACCATACGCAACTGGTGTTTGTTCCTAAAAAAAGGGTGTTCGTTGATGGTTTTTGACCAATATCTTTATGTAATCTTACACTCCAGATTATATCAAAGATTATGGTCAGCAGGGTTTAGCCACTTATGCCTCGTCTGGCAGATTTTTTTTCTCGAAGTGCATTTATTCCTGTGCGTTGTATTACAGACTCGATTTTCTTGGT